CGTTCCAATACAGCCTCGCCCTCTTCTCACCTCCCATCTCTCCATCTTTCACTGTCTCTCTCTCTCTACGGAGGAGGAAACAGACACACAAAGACACTTGCGGGCTTGTTAATCACAGTTCCACGAGGGGGTCTCAGAGGCAGAGGTCATCGCTGTTATGAGCTAGTCTGTCTTTCAACATCATGATTAATTTGCATTTGTATGACAGTTAGTGGTTGGTTCTGTGCAAAGGCGTTTAACCCCACTGACCCTTTACTCGGCTCTATTATCTGTTTAAAATATACATACAATACAAATAACTTTCTTATAATTGCCTCCTAAGGACAGAGTAGCAAAAATGACCAAAGTCCTTTTTGCTCTGAAACAAATATTCTGCATTTTGATCATTTTAGAGACACTTAATAAATATTTCAACCGACAATTCCCCCACATAAAGAACCGCTTTTTTAAAGGAAAGTTGTGAGAAAACAGCCGACTATCTATAATATAAAACCTAATTTTTTTGTCTTCTAAATGAGCACCCTGCAATCCTATTATATTTCAAACTAAATTAAATTAAAATAACATTTATAGCAAAAATATGAAACTCTGTTGCAGATATACATTTTACGACAAGGTGTAATATCAAAAACAGTGACCTTGAAACTAACCTTTTTAAAAATCAAAAAGAACACAGTAAGGGGCCATTCACACAGAAGTTTTTACTTTTAAAAATGCAAGACATGTCAGTGGAAAGAAAAAAAACCCACAAAATTCTTTACATTTTTTTGTACAAGATGCTGCAAAATATGCAAGATGCAAGCATAATCACTTCCATCTAGCACATGTTTACATAGAAAAACAATGGAAAAGCAACACAGTGAAATGCAATGTTCTGTGTGAATAGCCCCCTAAGGAATGATTTACATAAAACACATTTTTGTGTTTAAAAACACAAGACGCTGGGCAGTGGAATGAAAAAAAAAAAAAAAGTTGCAGTTTTTTTACTTCAGCGCCGTGTTTTTTAGAACATGTGCAATAAAATAGACGCAATATACACAAGCGCAACGATCAAACACATTTGTCTAGTGAATGTAAAAGCGCTGCAGTGGAATACAAAAATGTGTTCTTAGTGAACACCCCCTATTGTTCCATGACAACCTACTGTTCAGTCAGTGAACTAGTCATCTGAGCCATATCAGTAAGGAAGTGAACTGTCTGAGCGTCAGAGTCATTAAAATGCACCAACTGAAAATTCCGTTGGCAGATTGGACCTTGTGCTGTATGTTTGCTTTTGTGCGCACTTAGTGAGGACGAAGTAATAGAAAGTTTAAATCCAGACTGATATTAATCTGATGTAGTGTGCAGGTCATGTGGATGTGCATATCACAAGCGTTCCAGGGATACAATCATCTCTGGTTGCCGGGCAATGAGGCACAATGCAGTTTCCGTGACGACAGGGGCTGTAATCCCGTCTCCAGGCAGAGAGTCACTTGTCATGAATCACAACTGTGGTAATCGAGATGAGATGACACTCAGACACGCCCACTACCAAACAGCCCAGAGAGAGAGAGAGGTGGGCAAGACATATCATGACAGAATGAAAGAATAAAGGAGAGACTGGAGACATTTAAGGTACAAACGAGGAATATATCCGAGAGAGAGAGCTGGAAATACATAAAAGTGGCTGATAACAGGACAATCAATGAGTGTGGTTACATAGATTATCTTACATAGAATATGCTTAATAATAACCCAATACTGTGTTGGTCATATAAATGCCTTAAACTCTATTCTTATCAGGTAAGGTAAACCTAAATGGTTTAAGTGAAACCTGATCAGCATACCCCTATTACTCAGATTTCAGTCTTCTGGTGGCCAGTATTATTTATATACTATTACAGTATTTATTAAGTAGTATTTTTTGCTTGCTTGCTTGAGTGTGTGTGTATATATATATATATA